TAGTGTAGACCGTAGTAGCTTGTGCCGGCGATATAGTGAAGGATGCGCTTCACTGCCATCATGTGCTCTTGTAGGTTGCTCCATGAAGCTACCCACAAAGTCGATGGCGAATGCCAGATCGGCCTTGTGCTTTTGTGGGCTGCCAACGATCCTTTGATACTCTGTGGCATCCACCTTTTTTGCCGTGCTCTCACGGCTCAGTTTCGGTTGCCCCTCCATCAGAGTGTGAGCTGGGTGGCAGCCTTCCATTCCTCCAAGCTGAATGCGCGATGCATAGTGTGCCTAACATAGTCTGATGCCATAGCCATCTTGCCGGACTTCGATTCCGAGATAGAATGACAGCAGTCCAAGGTCACTCATCTGGAATTTTGTTTCCATCTTGTCCTTGAAGCTCTCAACTCCGCCTATGTTGTCTCAACATAGCCGGTCCCAAGCCCGGGTAAAGGAGGAGGGTTGTGATAGGCTTGGCGAGCCAACGTAAAAACTCAGCCACTCTTACGGAGATGAAACCCAAAAAAAGATTTTTGTGGGGACCGGATTATCCTGGTCAAGCTGGTAGTTGAGGACTTGGTTCTCAATGTTATCAGAGCGTATGCCCCGCAAGTAGGCCACAATGAGAACACCAAGAGGGAGTTCTGGGAAGGCCTGGAAGACATGGTTAGGAGTGTACCGATTGGTGAGAAGCTCTTCATAGGAGGAGACCTCAATGGCCACGTGGGTACATCTAACACAGGTTTTGAAGGGGCGCACGGGGGCTTTGGCTATGGCATCAGGAATCAAGAAGGAGAAGATGTCTTAAGCTTTGGTCTAGCCTACAACATGATTGTAGCTAACACCCTCTTTAGAAAGAGAGAATCACATCTGGTGACTTTTAGTAGTGGCCAACACTAGCCAGATTGATTTCACCCTCTCGAGAAGAGAAGACGTGCGTGCCTAGACTGTAAGGTGATACCTGGAGAGAGTGTTGTACCCCAGCATAAGCTGGTGGTTGCTGACTTCCGCTTTCGGATTCGTGTCCAGCGGGATAAGTGTGCCAAAGTCGCTAGAACGAAGTGGTGGAAGCTCAAGGGGGAGGTAGCTCAAGCGTTCAAGGAGAGGGTCATTAAGGAGGGCCCTTGGGAGGAAGGAGGGGATGCGGACAATGTGTGGACGAAGATGGCGACTTGCATTCGTAAGGTGGCCTCGGAGGAGTTTGGAGTGTCCAGGGGAAGGAGAAGCGAAGATAAGGATACCTGGTGGTGGAATGATGATGTCCAGAAGGCGATTAAAGAGAAGAAAGATTGCTTCAGACTCCTATACCTGGATAGGAGTGCAGACAACATAGAGAAGTACAAGATGGTGAAGGCCGCAAAGCGAGCTGTTGGTGAAGTAAGGGGTCTGGCATATGAGGACCTCTACCAACGGTTAGGCACGAAGGAAGGCGAAAGGGACATCTATAAGATGGCCAAGATCCGAGAGAGGAAGACGGGGGATATTGGCCAAGTCAAATGCATCAAGGACGGAGCAGGCCAACTCTTGGTGAAGGACGAGGAAATTAAGCATAGATGGCGGGAGTACTTTGACAAGCTGTTCAATGGGGAGAATGAGAGTTCTACCATTGAACTGGACGACTCCTTTGATGAGACCAGCATGTGTTTTGTGCGGCGAATCCAGGAGTCTGAGGTCAAGGAGGCTTTAAAAACGATGAAAGGAGGCAAGGCGATGGGCCCTGATTGTATCCCCATTGAGGTGTGGAAAGGTCTCGGGGACATAGCGATAGTATGGCTAACCAAGCTTTTCAACCTCATTTTTCGGGCAAACAAGATGCCAGAAGAATGGAGACGGAGTATATTAGTACCAATCTTCAAGAACAAGGCGGATGTTCAGAGTTGTACTAAACTACTAATTACCGTGGAATTAAGCTGATGAGCCATACAATGAAGCTATTGGAGAGAGTCATTGAGCATCGCTTAAGAAGAATGACAAGCGTGACCAAAAATCAGTTTGGTTTCATGCCTGGGAAGTCGACCATGGAAGCCATTTTCTTGGTACGACAACTTATGGAGAGATATAGGGAGCAAAAGGACTTTCATATGGTGTTCATTGACTTGGAGAACGCCTATGATAAGATACCGCAGAGTGTCATGTGGTGGGCCTTGGAGAAACACAAAGTCCCAGTAAATTACATTACCCTCATCAAGGACATGTACGATAATGTTGTGGCAAGTGTTCGAACAAGTGATGTCGACACCGATGACTTCCCGATTAAGATAGGACTGCATCAGGGGTCAACTTTGAGCCCTTATCTTTTTTGCATTGGTGATGGATGAGGTCACAAGGGATATACAAGGAGATATCCCATGGTGTATGCTCTTAGCGGATGATGTGGTGCTAGTTGACGATAGTCGGACGGGGGTAAATAGGAAGTTAGAGTTATGGAGACAAACCTTGGAATCGAAAGGGTTTAGGCTTAGTAGAACTAAAACCGAGTACATGATGTGCGGTTTCAGTACCACTAGGTGTGAGGAGGTTAGAGCATCTCCAGTCGTTCGCCCCCCCAGGACGCCGAAAAAACGCGTCCTGGGGGCGAGCCGACGAGATTTTCGGCGAGGAGGTTAGAGCATCTCCAGCCGTTCGGCCCCCAGGATGCCGAAAAAACGCGTCCCGGGGGCGAGCCGGCGAGATTTTCGGCGTGGGGGCGACTGCGTTCCCAGTCGTCACCCCCAGGTCGGCCCCAGGGCTAAACGAATTCGGCGTTTTTTTGGCATAAACTCTTCGAAATTCATCCAAACTCGGCGACATTCATTCAAATTTGTACAAAAAACAAATAAAAAAAACAAACACTGCCTAGCTACGCCGTCCTCGCCGCGCCTCGCCGCCGTCCAACTTCTACATGTCTAGGCGCTTGTAGAAGTCGGTGTAGTCTCCGCCGCCATCGTCGTCCTCGTCCTGCCACCCGCTGCCGTCCCTGCTGCAGCCCTGTCCAGGGTCGCCGACGCGGGATGGCCCGGCCTCCTCCTCGTCGCTGTCGAGGTAGAGGACGCCGTCCACCTTGCGGACGGGGCGGGGTGGCGCGCCTTGAGTTCCTCGAGGGCGCGGCGCTGGCGAGCCACCTGCTCGCGGACGTAGTCCTCCCTCGCCCACCTCATGGCCGTCTCGTCGGCGGCGGCCATCGCGAGGTGCTCCGGCTTCATCGAGAGCAGGGGAGGCTCCGGCTCGGTTTTCGGCCGAACGCGGCGCATGCGATCGCCGCGGCCTTCCTCGGGGATGGTTAGGGCGCCGCTGCGGGTGCGGCGCCCTAGCGGGGACTCCCCCGCCGTGTCCTGTGGCTCGTGCTTGACGGCGAAGGCCGCCGGCGAGCCGCCCGAGGAGGTTGTCGCGTCCGACAACCGCCGCGGCATCCACGAGCTGCCACGGCGGCGAGAGAAGGACGGGGGTGCGGGGGCGGGGTACTTGAGGCGCGGCGTGTTGCCGGCCTCGATGTAATCGAGGACGTGCTCGAGGGTGCGGACGGGCACCCCCCACCACTTGCGCCGCCCTTCGGCGTTGTGGCGGCCGCGAGGCACGACGCCGTTGGTGGAGGCAATCAGGCCGTCGCGGCGGTGGTCGAAGTAGATCGTCCAGAATGCGTTGTTGTCGAGGGAGTATGCCGGCGTTCGCCGCTGCTCCTCCGCCAGCGACGACCTAATGCGGGCGATCTCTGCCCGCCGGTCCGCCCCGGTGGGAGCTGGTGGCACCGGCACGCCGCCGGCGCTCAAACGCCATGCGCCCGGCACCC